TACATTAGTTAACTATAAAAAGTCAATTCAAATGGCTCTCTGGGACACAGAAAGGAAGAGACACTATTAGAAATTTTGAAGGTGTAAGAAAAAAACCTGAATGGTCAAGTCAACAAGCATTAATTAAATGCTACTACATGCCAGGCACTATGCTAAGCACTGGGGATACAAAGAAAGACCAACACTCCCCCCCCCAAAGAAAACCAAAACAAAACCCAAAACAGTTCTTACCCTCAAGGAGCTCACAGTCTAATAGGGAAGACAATATGTAAAAAAAAAAAAGCACAAAGTTATGTAGGATGAGTTGGAGATAATAAATTGAAGGAAAGCACTAGTATTAAGGGGGGTTGGGAAAAGCTTCTTGGAGAAGGTGGGATTTTATCTGGCACTCGAAGGAAGCCTGGAAAGTCAGGAAGCAAAGACAAGGGAGAGCATTTCAGGTATGGGGGACAGCGAGTAAAAATACCCAAAGTTGGAATATGAAGAGTCTTGTTTGGGGAACAGCCAGGAGGCCAGTGTCAATGGATTACAAAGTACTTTGTGGGGGATAAGGTGTAATATGCGGCAGGTAGGTGACTCAGTGGATAAAGTGCCAGGCCTGGAGTCAGGAAGACTCATCTTCCTGAGTTCAAGTATGGCCTCAGGCAATTACTAGTTTTGTGACCCTGGGAAAGTCACTTAATCCTGTTCGCTTCAGTTTCCTCATCTGTAAAATAAACTGAAGGTGGAAATGGAAAATATTGCAGTATCTTTGTCAAAAAAAAACAACAAAAAACCCAAAACCAAAAACAATCCAAAAGGGATCACACAGAGATGGACACTACTGAAAATGACTGACAACGAACGGTGTCAGAAGACTGAAAAAGTAAGAAGGGGCTGGGCGTATTATGAAGGGCTTTGACCACCAAAGAGATTTTATATTTGATCCCGGAGGTGATAGAAAGCCACTGGAGTTTACCAAATCGGGGGATGATATGGTTGAATATGTGCTTTAGGAAAATCACTTTGGCAGCTGAGTGGGAATGGGGAGAGACCTGAAACAAGAGAGATCAAGCAGCAGGTTACTGCAAAGTCCAGGCGTGAGTTAATCACAGCCTGTTCCAGGGAGTGTCAGAGGAGAGGTGGAGGAAGGGGGGAATGGAGGGAGGAACCATACATACATTTACCGGAGATGTTACAAAAGGTCAAATTTGCATGATTTGGCCACATTTGGTCACAGGAGAGTGAGGAGTGGAGGGTAACTCCTAGGTTGTGAGTCTGGGTGACTGAGAGGATGGTGGGCCCTCCACAGTAATAGAAAAGACAGCAAGAGGGAAGGGTTTGGGGAGAAAGATAATTATATTAGTTCAGTTTTTGTTACATTGAGGATAAGATGACTATGGGACATCTGCTTTCACACAGCTTGTGAGTCTGAAGGTTAAAACTGGATAAGTAGTTCTGAGAATCATCGGCCATATTAAAAATGTTTTAAATCACTAATAATTCAGTGAAATACAAATTAAAGTGACTCTGAGGTTCCATCTCACGCCCATCAGACTGGCAAAGATGACAAAAAAGGAAAATGAGAAATGTTGGAAGGAATATGGAAAAACAGATATGTAAATTAATGCTCTGTTGTTAGAGCTGGATTTGTTTCAGCTATTCTGGAAAGCATTTTCAAACTATGTCCAAAAAGTTACTAAACTGCATACATATCCTTAGACCCATTGAAACCACTACAAGGTCTATATATTAATGAGATTTTTTTTAAAACAGGGAAACGACCTATATGCTTAAAATTGTTTATAGCAGCTCTTTTTGTGGTGGCAAAAAATTGGAAACTAAAGAAGTGCCTATGAATTGGGGAATGTCTGAACAAACTATGGCACATGAAAATGATGGAATATTATTGCTATGCTGTAAGAAAAGACGAAGTTTCAGAGAAACCTGGGGGAAAGACTTGAAGCAACTGATACAAATGAAGTGAGCAGAACCAGGGGAACGATTTATACAACTATGACAATGTAAAAACATACAACTTTGAAAGGTGTAAGACAAAGCAGAATGAGATATACATTTGTGGATATGAGCAACATGGGAATTGGTTCTGTTTGATTACTTTACAAGGATTTTTCTTCTCAACTATGGGGAAGGGAGAAGGTCACAGGGAGAAAGGTGCTCCTTCCCCAAATGAGAAAAGAACATGAGAAAGGTCTAAGGGAATCATATATTAGTAGGACAAGTTTGAAAATTACATATTGAATTTATTATAGACTTTTAAAGAAAAGCAAGCAAGCTTTACATAATAGACTCATGGTTTCATATGCAGTTATCTCCTGTTATGCAACATATATATGGAATGCTCATTTGATTTGGTGTTTGTTTAGTTCAGAATAAAAAAATAAAGCCTATCCATAGTATGGCTTCAACATAGATCATTAGAGAGAGAGAGAGAGAGAGACAGAGAGAGAGAGAGAGAGAGAGAGAGAGAGAGAGAGAGTGTGTGTGTGTGTACAGACAGTAGGTGAAGGGATGCAGGGAAGAAGCCATAGTTTGTGTTCTAATTCCCTGAGTTGTGTGTCTGGCGCCCTCAAGTGGTGACAGGCTCCCAAGTGGTTCGCTCTACTAATCTTCCTATGCTGTGCCCAAATTCGCAGTGAATCTCGGGAAGCAGCCTTTCACTGGTCTCTTGTGCCAGTGATGATGGCAAATGCAAAGTGGGTTCAAAGTCTTTTCTGATTTCTTTAGATGAATGCCTTCATCATTTGTCCCCTCACACAACTGTACCCAACACCTGTGAGTTTCTCTAAGAATTCAACTCTAATATTAATATAATTTAATATGATTTATCAAAATATAAATAAGTTTAAAATAATGTATTACTATAAACATAAGCTGTGGTTTATTAAGAATTATTTTTAAAAATCGACAGCACTTGAAGTAACCTCAAAAGGAAAACAAACTAGCAATACTGAAGAGGTCCTTTTGAGATTCCCCCTCCCCATCCCTGTTTTCAAAGCTTTCCTCTTCTCCAATGTTGTATAGCTTTTGGGGGCAGACCCAGCTAGAGAGTACAAAGTCCTATTCCTGGCTTCCTAACTGGAAGGTTGAACACCTAGCATATTCTATGATCCAGCCCAAACTGGGTGCCTCTCTCTTTGCTCACAGTTAGTCAACAGACATTTATTCAACACTTACTTACTATACGTCAGACAATGTTCTTAGGTGAGGACACAAAGATAGGTTAAAAACATCTGCCCTCCCCTGAGAAGCTCATATTCTAAAATAGAAAGATAACATGCAAACAACTACGTGTGTATAGTTTAATATAGCATAGATGCAATTTCAAAGGAAAGGCAATAATGGCAGGTAGTGGGAGAAGGGACTGGAAAGCCCTCTTGTAGAAAGAAAGATTTCATCTGAGTCTTGAAGGAAGCCAGCAGGCTAAGGGAGGGAGAAGAGGGATAATTCATCCTTTTCTAGTTGTTCAGTCATTTTCAGTTGTGTCTGACTCTGTGACCCCATTTGGGGTTTTCTTACCAAAGATATTGGAATGGTTTGCCATTTCCTTCTCCAGCTCATTTTACAGATGAGGAAAGTGAGGCAAACAGAGTTAAGTGCCTTGCCCAGGGCCAAACAGCTAGTAAGTGTCTGAGGCCAGATTTGAACTCAGAAAGATGAGTTCTTCCTGACTCTAGGTCTGGCACTCTATCCACTATACCACCTAGCTGCCACTCCTAGTATAGTGTAATAGAAACGCAGCATGCTAGATTTGGTGTCTGAGAACCTGGGTTTGAGTCCTGATTCTGCTGTTTACTAGCTGAGTTACTTTGTGCAAGTCATTTCACTTCATCTATAAAATGATGGGGCTGGATGGGACCTTAGAGTCCAATCTCTTCCTCATTTTACAAATGAGAAAACTGAGGGCCACAGGGAAGTGACTTGCCTAATGTCACAGGTAATAAGAAGCTGAGCCAGAATTTAAACGCAGGACTTCTTCCACTACAATAGATACCTCCCAAATCCTATGAGGCAATGAATAATAACAGCTTGTATGTATGTATGTGCGTATCTGTCTATCTATCTACCTACTTTAAGGTTTACAAAGCTCTTCATAATATTATTGCATTAGATTGTAAGCTTCTTGAGGACAGGGACTGTCTTTCCACTCTTTTTGTATCCCCAGTACTTAGCAGAGTGCCTAGCACACAGTAGGTGTTTAATAAAAGTTTACTGAATGGAACTGAAATCCTTACAATAACCTTGTGAGGCAGGTGCTATTATTATCTTCATTTTTTCAAATAAGGAAACTGAGGCTAAAAAGTGACTTGCCTCGGGTCATAAAGCTAGGGAGTATCTTTAAGTGGATTTGATCACCTGGTGTTCCAGGGCTCTTATTCAGGCCTCCACCCTCCTCTGGACCTGCTCAATTTCGACCCATCCTTTAAAGCCCAAATTAAATGCTACTTCTTCCAGAAAACCTTGGATTCTCCACACTCCTTGAGAGGTCACGTGCACTTGGCTTCATGCTCTATTGCCTATTATTATGTTTATATTATTTGTATATTATGTATTTACGTATTTGTATTACATATCTTACATAAAGTATTACATATTAGATTTACGTGTTATAATCTATTTACGTACTATATTACGTATTATAATACGTATTATAATTACATATTAACGTACTGTCATTACATTGTGTATCATTTTACTGTTCTCCTCACCTGGAAGTGGATGCCCTATCTCGTCTAGAGAACTTGTAAAGAACATATGTTAGGGTCCTACCAAAGCACCCCACAAAAACACGCAGTTGGGAAGTGGGGGGAGGGTGGCTGCTCGCTCGATTCAGCCACTTCCGGCCTGTAATGAGCCGCCAGGGGCAAAGCGCAAGCGCACAGCTAGTTTTCTAGCTCGCTCCTAAGCCTCGGGCTTCCCTTTTCCCCTCCCGCTCTGCCCCACTGCATACGTCACAAGTCCATCTGCTTCCTTCAGTGCGCGCACGCGCCATGACGTACCGCATCGTTGTCAACGTCGCCGAGACAAATCGCATGCGGAAAGAGGCTCCCGCTGAACTCCAGGGTTACTCGCTGCACGTAACTAACCGATCGCATTGCGCTATCTGGGGCCGAGGGCTCTAGGTATCCTCCTCCTAGTCCTCGCACTCTCCTTCCACCTTCCAGCCGAGCGGAAGTCGTCAGGTGGGGGGGCGGGGTGGGGGGGAACACGGGGGGGGTGATTACGTTATCCCCTCATCCTCCGCTGTCTTCGTCAACCAAAGAGAAGGAGGAGCTCTAGGCAATCGGGGCCTCCCAGCTCTATGGCTGCTGCAGCGAGGAGTTGGCTTGCTGTGGATCGGAGTCACAAGGCTGGTCTGAGGCCTGGCTCCTCGGCTTCATTGGCTGCGGGACTCGGGACTAGTCACCTCACCTCCCACGGCCCTTTCCAACAAACAGTAATTGACATTCATATAGCACTGGAATGTTTTTGAAGTGTTTAATGTGCATCACCATCACTCTTGTTTGCTAGCATTCATTAAACTCCCATGGACATCTTAAACTCAAAAACTGTCCAAAACTAACTTTTGCAATTGGGTCTTATCTTAACGGACAGGAAATGTCTGAGGATTGATGTGGAAGCCATCTCTTAAATAGTATTGTTTACAGTTAGATGATAGAAATTAGAGATCATAGGGTGAGGATCAAAATATTAAAGTAGGATAAACCTGAGAAGATAAGGCATGCAATTTGAAATCCCAAAACCTGTTTGTCTGGCTGTTAAAGAAAGTGCAACAAAAATCTCAGTGTACAACGTTGGTACGGATTTAAGCAAACACACTATAGAGTAAGGTCATGTATTCAGATATAATCACTTTCAGATACAATTAAACTTAATTATTTTATTGTGACTTAGGTGGGATTTGTACCCTATGTAGGATTTGTAAAATTGTGAAAAAAGAAAAGATACCAGATAACTAGGGGGAAATTACATATGGAATCACTTAAAAAAAAAGGAGCATATAAAATATTATTTCATATGCTTGCTTGCTCGTATTTACAAAATCTCGGAGAATAATTTGCACAGTTATCACAGGCATATTTGATGAAAACAGCACAAGGAAACAAGCTGGCTACGGCAGATCAGAACTCTGAACAGTGCAGAGAATGTAAGACCCCGCTATGCTTGTTTTTGGTGGACCATAAAAAAAAATTTGATTTATTAAATCAAATTGCAGTTTTAAATACTTCCAGCAAAGAGTTTTCCATGCATGTTAAAATTACATAACATTCCTTATTAGAGGCAAGAATGGAAATGTTTGACAATCCTCTGATCGTTAATATTAAGCAGGGCATAGAATAGGAACAGTTACACATCAAAAGTGTTTGCCACTGTTATTGAAAATATCTATCAGAGTCCAAATAGGGTGATTCCATATAGATGATGAGGTCCTGAAGATGCTCCTGTTGCAGATGACATCATGCTGATTTGATCAAGACCCAAAACACTGCAGATTCTCCTGAAGTAATTCTGCTTAAAAATTGAGCCTGACAATCCACAGAGGAAAAACCAAGCATTGCACACACAGTTGGATGGTAAAACAGTTATACATATAGTACATACATCTAGGCAGACATTACATATGGACAGTGAACTGGATCAAGAAATATATAGGGAGTGGGCTAGACTGGATTGAATTTGGGAAATCTTATAGCGACAAACATCTCTCAAACAAAAACTTACCTTTTTTATAATGTATTTTTCCATATACGGCATATGACTTTGAATCATGGAATATCAGTCTCTGAAAATATCAAAATGATGGGTCACTCAAAAGGCAATAGAGACATAGTGAGTGAGGCATATTATTACTGATGACTGAAACACAGTAAGTGGTGTAAAATATGCCATCAAAAACACAACTAAGATTAGAAGGAAAATAGAAAGATGGGAAACAACTTTTACAGCCAGTGTTTCGGATAAAGGCCTCATTTCTAAAATATATAGGGAACCGAGTCAAACTTATAAGAATACAAGTCACTCCCCAATTGATAAATGGTCAAAGAATATGAACAGGGAGTTTTCAGATGAAGAAATTACAGCTATCTATAGTCATATGAAAATGCAAATTAAAACAATTCTGAGGTGCCACCTCACATGTAACAGATTGACTAATATGACAGGGAAAGGAAAATGATAAATGTTGGAGAAGATGTGGGAAAATTGGGACACTAATGCATGTAAACTGATCCAACCATTCTGAAGAGCAATTTGTAACTATGCCCAAAGGGCTGTAAAAATGTGCATGCCCTTTGATCCAGCAATAGCACTTCTAGGGCTATATCCCAAAGAGATCAAACAAATGGGAAAAGGACCCACATGTACAAAAATATTTATAGCAGCTCTTTTTGTGGTGGCAAAGAATTGGAAATTGAGGGAATGCCCATCAATTGGGGAATGGCAGAACAAGTTGTGGTATATGAATATTAGGAATACTGTTATGCTATAAGAAATGATGAACAAGCAGATTTCAGAAAACCTGGAAAGGCTTACATGAACTGATGCTGAGTGAAGTGAGCAGAACCAGGAGAACATTGTACATAGCAACAGCAACATTGTGCACTGATCAACTATCATTGACTTAGGTCTTCTCAGTAATACAATGATCCAAGACAATTCCAAAAGGCTTATGATGGAAAATACTATCCACATCCAGAGAAAGAACTATGGCGTCTAAATGCAGATCAAAGCATACTGTTTTCACTTTTTTTGTGACTTTTCCCTATTCTGTTTTTTCTTTCACAACATGACTAGTGTGGAAATGTTTACATGATTGCACATGCATAACCTGTATCATATTGCTTGCCATCTTCAGGAGAGATACTGGGAGGAAAGGAGGGAAAAAAAATTTGAAACTCAAAATCTTATAAAAAATGAATGTTGAAAACTATATATGTAATTGGAAAAAATAAAATACTATTTACCAAAAAGAAAAAAAATATTTAAAAAAAGAAAAAAAAGTAGAGCAGAAGGGATATTTTTTTTGTTTGCTTGTTAGGAATATGTTTTTAACTACCTGATTGAATTTAAAATATATTTTAAAACAAACAATATATTTAAAATATTATTGGGTTCATATATACCACTTTTTGTTCTTTTTATTTCAATGTTTGTATTTATTGATGATTGTTAATTTCATAATGAAAAACTAAATTTCAGACAAAAGAATAGGTGTCAAAAAACATGCCATCAAAAAGATGTCAAACCAAAAAGGGATCTAGATCAGTCATGTAGTGAGATTAAGGGACAACATACAGAGAACTTACCTGCTGTACTAGTACCTATTGTTATATTAAGAAACTGGAGGCAGACTGCCCAACTTCTGCAGACCACTCCTGCAAAACCTAGAAGTTCATGCGAAACACAATAATGATCAAGAAAGTTAATGAGAAGACCTACTGAAATAAGAAGTAGTGTTACAGCATAGGCCCAGAGAACCCATGACAGTATGCCAAAGTTGGAAGAAAACCGTAGTCAGAAAATCTGGATTCTATAACACCACTAATAGCTAGCTGCACATTAGGTAAGTCACTTTACCTCTTCTGTAAAATGAAGGGAATGGACTAGATCTGTGCTTCTCAGATTATGGTCTGTAGACTTCTGCGGGCCCCTTAGATCTTTTTAGAGGGTCCATGAGGTTAAAACTATTTAAATAATAATACTTAGACATTATTTACCCATTGAAATATTCCTTCTTTCTATCCACCTTTCTGGGAGGTTGGATTCTCTTCGTATACTTCAACCACAACAACATATTGTGATATGTAGAAGCATCTACGAGACCTGTCTTCTCTTAAGCCAGACTTTAAACCGGATTTAAGCCAGATTTGTAAAAGCATGTAAAACAATGCCACTTTTCTCTCAAAAACCTTTTTGTTTTTGGAATACATATTTTCATTAAAATGTATTATGTTAATATGTAATTTATTGTTTTAAAATGTTTAAAAAATATCCATTTCATTTCTGAAATTTAAAATATTTATAGATGTAACCCAAATACAAGCTTATTGGGGTCTTCAATAATTTTTAAGTTTGTAAAGGGGTTCTGAGACCAAAAAGTTTGAGAACTGCTGGACTAAGAAATATGGAAAATTCCTTCCATACTTTGACATAGAATTCTGTTAGTGCATTATAGTGAGACTCCAAAGTGTTTAGCAGTGCAGCAATTTTCATGTATTTGGAGTCTCAAGCAGATTGTACTGCTCAGTGACTCAGTTAGCTTGTATTCCTAAGACAGAAATATATAACCTGTAATGTGTGTCTCCTTACCCGAAGAAAAATCAATTCCTTCTTGAACCTGAATTTTTGAAAAGGCTCTCAGGTGATGAACCTCCTGGTCAAGATTATAAATTGAATTGTTTTGATACTGGTGACCCAGGAAGCTGCCCCTTCCAAGGTCCCGGTCATTGCAGCCTACCCAGTATTAGTAAGGAAGTGTGAGTGATCATACCTAGACCTCTTCAGTCCCATAGAATGTGAGAAAACCATATAACCACCACTTAATTTGTGAGTAAGAATCCCTATATATCCCTAAATTTCTAACCTGGATTCTGGTCATCTGTGAAAACGCAAACCTGTTCTTGGCTACTGAGCATGCCCAGTGTGGCTAATAGAGCCAAAGTCTTCTCAACCTTGTTTAGTTTCAGTCATGACTAACAGAAGGGGGCAAGAATAAGGATTTGAGGTGAGGAAGGACAGACTGGACAGGGCAGGTCTTCCATAAGGTGCTGGTGGCTATGATTTGAACTGGAAAGTGACAAAACCTCCTGAGAAGATAGACTTCCAAGTCAGTAAGGCAGTGCAAAGGAAATGGTGGACAGGGAGGTCGAGCCACACATGGACAGACCCTTGACCTGACGTCAGGAAAACCTGAATTCACATCCAACCTCAGACACTTGCTCTGTGACCCTGGGAAAGTCCCCTAACCTCTTTGCCTGTTTCTTCATCTACAAAATGGGGATAAACTAGAACAAAGTTAGTTTAAGGAACATCCAGTGTTTAAGGAATATCCAAAGACTGGGTACCTAAATGCTTCTACCATGACATTAACAATGGTGAGGACAGTTGATAAAATTCTAGCTTGTTAATAGCAGTAGGATGTGAAACAGAGACACACCTGGGTTCTGACTATGGCTTTGCCAGACATGTTGTGTACCTTGGAGTGCTCTTCTCTATTTACTTCTAAGAGATAGCACTTTCTGACCTAAGGGTGAGTTGGCATAAATTATTCCTAAAAGCAAATATGAAGTCCTTGGTCACCTGAAGGCCAAAGATTTTTGTCTATTTTCACTGTAGAAATGCTTGGCTTTAGTCATGATGGTTAATAATTAACCTGTGAGGGTTTTAGTTTGCCAAGAGCTTTCGTCACAACCCTGTTTTTTTTTTGTTTAAATTTAAGGAACCACAACAGAGAAGCATAGTAACCTTTCATTGTAAATTGGAATGATACGTATACGGTGCTTTACAGCTTAAGAAGCTCTTGCAGACATCCTTGATCTCATTTGAGCTTCATAGTCTTATACCTTTTAGAAGAAATTGAGGATTTCAGGTGACTAGGACTACATGGTTAGTCAACCTAGGGCTTCTAGTTACCTGTACTGTGAATCTCAAATTCCCTGCCCTATAATGAAACTCAATCACCAACTTCCATGAGACAAATTTTCTATGGGGCAAAGCTTAATAATGCCCTAAGAAAGTGTTGCAGACAGCTTTTTTTCGTATTTTGCTAGGCAATGGGGTTAAGTGACTTGCCCAGTCACATAGCTAGTGTTATGTGTCTGAATCCGCATTCGAACTCAGGTCCTCTGGACTCCAGGGCCAGTGCTCTACCCACTGCACCACCAAGCTGCACCCCCCCCCCCCAGCTTTATTTTGTTTAATTTCTTCTTTTGTTTTTGTTAGGCAGTGGGGCAAAGTGACCTTCCCAGGGTCACACAGCTAGCGTTCTGGGTCTCAGGCCATATTTGAAGTCACATCCTCCTGATTCCAAAGCCATAGCTCTATCCACTGCACAACCTAGAGGCCCCTCATAGCTCTTACATCTTAATACCCCTAGAAGGTATCATAGGTATCCTATTTTGACAGATGAGGAAACTAAGGTTCAGTTACATGGCTATAACGTTTCAAAGCCAAAATTAGAACCAAGTCTGGTGTTTTTTGCATTGTACAATCTCACCTTGCATCATTTGAAGTGGGAATTTGCAACTCAGATATGCATCGGGGAATGCTCTCAGCATTTAACAGTATTTTATTAAGCACCAAGCTATGCATTGCCATACAAACCAAATTCAAAACAGATATGGTCCCTGCCCTCCAGGAGCTTACAATCTCCTAAAAAAAATTAGAAGATAACCAGGAGCCACCATGACAGTCTCATTACTTGAAGTCAATTCTATTAACCTAGAGTGTGAAGGGACCTTGAAGGGTCAATTCTCTCCCTTTTAAGAGTGTGATTAGGGTCCTAGGCTGGATCCTATTGAATGCTGCCCTAGCTACAACCTTCATCTGTAGTTTTTTTCATTCGTATATCCATCTCTGTTTCTCCTTGCTCAGTTCTATCATCACTTGGGAGTTGCTCTTCTCAGCATCCTGTTATCAGCTACCATCTTATATACCTTTGGTAGATGGTACATATTCCCATGGGTTTGGCCTCAATTGTTGCTTATAATTGCACCAATTGGCTAAATCGGTTCAAAGAACACATTGGCCAATCTCACTGGACAAGTCAAAGTATAAAGCTATTTGTCTCAGAGAGGTACTTTCTAACCTTTGCCTATTATACTAGACTGCTCCCACCTAGAGGTCTTCTCACCACCCCTTCCCTCTTGGGCAGGACAGGAAACACAGCCTGACTCCTAAACTTTGGTTGTTTCCATTTTATTGCTCAAGTATGGAACTTGAGAGCCTGGATCTTCAATGTCGTGCAGGTAATAGGCCAAAGGAACAGGGATGGGTACAACACAGAACAGGCAAGGGCTTGAGAAGACATAGCTATCATTAAGAAAAAATGGGAGCAAACATGAACGTGGTCACCATGATACCAGAAAGGACCAACTGCCACAAAGTCTGGGACTAGAAAAGGAACAAATGGAAGCCAGGGAAACAGCAGTGGCTTTTGTTTTGTTTTTGTTATACTCCCCTGCACCACCAGAGGAGAAGGGGGGGGTGTTCTGTATTTCTCCCTTTACACCCCAGCTTCAAGACTAGATCCCCTCCCAATGTAAAAATGGATCAGGCTGTGGAAGGAGCAAAATAAATTAACATTTTTGGGGGGGAGTAGAAAGGATTACCTTTCCAAAAACATCCCCTACCCAACCCCAACAAACCTGTTCCTTTCCTCTTCCCTAAAGTCACCTTTCAACCAGATAGAAAAATAAAGGTCTAATTCACTCAAAATTCTTCAGGTTTTTTTTGTCTTTTTCTGTTTGTTTGTTTGTTTGTTTTTTACAAAACTAACAGGGTGGAGTAGGGAAGGTTAGGGCATGGGAGGTAGGCAGCCGTGGGAGTGGGGTTGGAGGGCTGGCTATGCTTCTGCCTCCACTTGAGACTTGCTCACTTCCACACCATTCTGCTGGTCATCCTTCATCTCTGCATCAGATGGAAAGTCTCCCCCAGCTGGTTCTGCCTCAGGCTAAAAGAGGAAGGAAGATGAAAAGGATTAAAACTTTCTACAAAGTAAACCCCTAAAGTCAAGTAAAGATAGATCACAATAATCCCATTTCTTCTCAAAACCAAAGGTACCCACTCTTCAGGCATAGAGCCTTTCTGTAAGCCACCAGCCCCACCATAAATATACCTATAAGGAAACAGACACCCACATAGGCCAGCTCCTATCCAACACACCCACCCACACACACCTGCATTTATCTAACCTCTGCACACATAAACCCCATGGGCAAAACACCATTCACAACACCCACAAACACTGATCCCAACCCCTACACAAATACTACTCAAGGGGAGGCCAACTGACCCATCATCACCCTCAGGCTGCTTACCTGCCTGGCCAGAAGCATAAGATTCCAGGCAGAGGAGGGAGCAAAGATTGAGGGAAGCCTGCAACATCAAAAGCCCTGTCTACAGGGACCTAATTTAGTACCACAGTTGAGCCAGGAGGGAGGTGGGCCAGGGTCAGAAACAGAGAAAGTAGATGCTGTCCCATTTTACTGAAATGAAAAGGGGTACCTCTGGTCCTACCTAGTCATGGGGCATTAAGACTACAAAGATACTTTCCTGATTCTCCAGCCCTTACCTTGTTCTCTTTCTCAGCCAATCTCTGGAACATGTTAGCATAAAGCTTCTTCTCCCTGGCATGCTGTTCACGGATCCGCTGTTGGCAGACAGTCAGTTGGGTTCTGGCAGCCTTGTTGCTGGGGTAGAGTTTGAGGACCTTCTGAAAATCATCCCTCGCCAGCTCAAAGTCATTCATAGCCAGATAGGCCTCCCCCCGACGAAAAAGGCCTTTCTCATTGTTGTCGTCCAGCTCTAGGGCCTAGAGAGTAGCAGAGGGATCAGAAATTTGGGAGTGAGTCCTCAGCTCCAAAATCTCAGACTGGATATATAACCATTTAAATGGTTTCCCGCAAACAGAACTGGATTAAAAAAAAAAAAACTCCTTCCAAAAAATCGAGTAAAAAATGAAGGAGATGGAAATTTTGGAAAAGAGCCCTGGATGGCCCCATACTCTTATTTGACCTACTACCAAACTCTAGATGCTGCTCAAGAGACTCAGCAGCCCCAAATCCCTACTGTTTCTCCAGCTTCAGACACTGTGCTTTACCCTCTAGTGAGCTCTAACCTTATTGCAGCTCTCCACGGCAGCAGAAAACAACTGCAGTTTGAGGTGACACATGGCCAAGTTAAGGTGTGAAGCCAGTCTCAGTGCCCGAGCCTGGGCTTGCTGTCCTTCCTCTTCAGAGAAGTCCAGCTTGTATTCTAGCCAGGACACAATCTTCTTGTACTGAAGCATGGCTTGCTTATACTTGCCTTCCTGGAATGAGAGAGGCAGGGTTATCAGGTTGTCTTTCTCCCAGACACCCAACAATAAAGCTGGGAAAATATACCAGGCCACCCAACTCACTGCTGGGCACCCAGGAAGCATCAGGTAAACAGGCAATATTAAATCCAAGACAGCATATCCAAAGGTATGGGTAAGCCATAGTTCTGTAACAACCCAACAATATGGAGACTTTTTTTTTCCCCTTCCTGGCAGACACATAACCAGTTAGCCCACTTTCGATAGGTCAAGAGGTACAGATTACGGCTCTAGACAGACAACGGGAGGTAGGGAAAAAGAAAAACACCTATAGGGCAACGGGCTCTTGACTTACCTTGAAGTACACTGTACCCCGTTCTTTCACTATGGCACTCTGCTCAAGCTTCTCCTCTGCATTCATCTCCCAAGACTCCTTGGCCTACCCAACCCCCAGGGAAGAAAGGGTACCTTTAGCTTTCTCAGCAAGTGACCCTGAGGAAGCTCAGTGGCTGAGGCCCAAGGGAACATTAGACAAGGAAAGGTAGAAGTACCCCCTCCAATCTTACCTTTTCAAAGCTCTTGAGTGTCACTTCATACTGTAGCTCAGCATCCCCTGGGATTTGAAACTTCTCCTTCCCAGCACTCCCAAAACCATAGCTATGAGAGAGAGGCAAATAATGGCACTGACTCCAACGAAGTTGGCAGGTACCTCTGGGCTCAAAGGTGGTGTGTTTGTGTGCCCAAATGATATAACATTTGTAAAGCACTGCACACAGCTGGGAATAAGAAGCCTCACAAATGCTCATCTTTCTCCCCTCCCCCTTGGAGTGCCCAACTCTGCCTACCTCTGGCCACACTCTCACCTGGGCTTAAGGTGGACAATAGAGTTCTCTCCCTTCTCCATTCGCTGAATCGCCTTTTCTAGTCCAGGGGGAAGATCATAGTTCTCACCCTCTCCAATCTCAAAGCTTAACTCTCGCTGGTCAAAGACCCGGCCTTTATGGTGACCCTCTAGCACAACTGGAGTAATTGGAGACAGGCAGTGAGTGGTGGAGGAGAGAGCCTGCTACCCCTTACCTCCCCCAGTGCTGATGGGAAGATGCCCTCTCTGTAGGGAGATATTTGGAGGCAGGGGAGAGGGAGAAGTCAGAATCAGGAGCTACAGCAGACAGAACACAGAAGGGAAGATTCCTTCTGTCTTCTAGCCCTTTACTTCTCATGACTGGATATAACCTTAAGAGACCATGTAGTCTGGTCCTTTCATTTCATAAACCCTCTCAGAGATAAAACTTGCCCCAAATGACATGGGTAAGTGGCTGGGACAGGAAAGGTATCCCCAAGTTTATTGTTCCTTCTGTTTCACAACGCTGCTTTGCCTCACCTTCCACTCTAGCACCCTCATTCGGCCTGGAGTAGCCCTCGCCTCGACTCCGTATCCTGCGGATGATTCCACCATCCTCCTCCTCAGTAAGATCTTCTCCCTTAAAATCAAATAGTTCCACCTACAGGAGAGATCACAGCCATAAGTCTAGGGTTGGAAGAAGGTACCCCAGGCCTTCTAGTCCAATGTTCCCATTTTATAGATTAGGAACCTGAGTCTTAGGGAGATCAGTCACTTGCCCAGGGAGTCAGTGTCAGAGGCAAGATCTGAACTCAGATCCTCTAATTTGTCCTTTTTCCTCCCCTTCTCATGTAACCCCTTTACTCCTCACTAACATTTTCCTTCTGGTCTAGCAAAAGGCTAATAAGCCTCTGCAATTCCATGCCAGCTCCTCATGGGAAGATGGGAAGTGTACTTGGGAGGTCATGAGGATACATTATTTCCTCAACCTGGGTCAGTATCCATCTAGCTTTTAGTAAAAGCAAAAGAAAGTTTGTCTCTTATTTCAGTTAACATCAAGTATTGGTCTCTGGCCATCTAGTTTGTAAGAAGAAAACATCGATCTAATCTAAAGATCACTGACGTCAACAGGGTGGGTGATGCCTTTACAACCCTTCAAATGGTAGTGGTCCTTGTGGGATGCAATGGCTGAAAAATTCATCCCTAAAGCCAACCTGGTAAGGAACCTGTCCAAGTTTAGCGCTAGCTTTAAGGTAAGAGGTCCATCACTGTGCTCATACTTGAATATGGCAGGATTTGTCCTCTATTAGCATCATATTTGAGGAGCAGGATCACTTCCGCTGTGATGAGGAGTATATGTCTATCATCTATTTATTTGCATATCAATCCCTTACCCAACCAGAATCTATCTAATGGCTTTCTGGACACTGTGCTCAAATGTGCTACCTTGAATGATTTCTCCCTTTTCTCTGTGTATGTTTTAAGTCACCAGGTGTCAGCAGGGAGGGAAGGAGTGGTCTTTTCTTTCTCCAAGTTGTTGCATGCTTGGGGTAGGATGTTCCCAAGGAAGCAGGTTGATTTGGAGCAGGCAGGGAAAGGACACAGAAACCTGTGTGTTGAGCGCTCTCCTCACTTCTAGGGGTTAGCACTATAATGTCCAGGCTGATAAAGGTGGTAGCACAGCTAGAATTCTTCCCCATCTTGGAAGAGGAAGCTCACCCCGTGTCCTCCCACTAGGCCAGGCCCTTAGCCTTAGCCACAATGTTTCCAAGTCAGAGGGGCTGGAGGGCAGCCAGCCTGTGAGACTGAGATAAGGCCTGGCTCGAATTCTTTCTGTTTTGTGGCCTGCCGCTCACCTCAAACACCAGGGTAGCATTGGGGGGGATCATGGGAGGGCTGCCAGATGCACCATAGGCATATTCTGCTTTGCAAGTGATGTGGCAGACTTCTCCAATTTTCATGGTGGCCACAGCGATGTCCCAGGCTTTGATTACCTCCCCTGTAGACACAAAATACATTAGGTTCCCCTGCCACCTTAGCTGAGGTTTCACCAAAAGTCGGGAGGTTGTCCTGAGAGGTACCTAACAAACCAAAAACCAGACCCCCCCCTCTTTAAGACGGGACCAGGAAAATGGGAGGTCCCATCCCTCCCCCCAGTGTTATTAATTCCCACATGTCCAAATGGGGCAAAAGCTGTTGTCTTTTTTACCCTTGTATTTATCCCAATCTTCTAAGAAGATAGCCAACGGAGAACTATATTCTACTGCCTCCAAAGGCCAGAAGACTAAGGTAGAAATAATTATAGATGTGGATAAATGGAGGGAAGAATTCAGTGGAGAAAGATGGAGAAGGGGAGAGTAAAAAAAGGGAAATACAAGGAGGACAAAAAGGTCCTCTTCTGTCCTCTAGTCTGTAACAAGCAATCCTGTCCTGTGTCTAGCCAGGCCTTTTAAGTGGGACACTGGAATGTTACCACTAGGCTGCCCACCACAGCTCCCTCTCCCTCTCACACCACAGGCCTCTCCTTAGCCATCAAGTTTACCTTTGCCCAAGTCAAAGGAGAACTTGTCCTTTCGATCCAAGCTGGAGTCAAATTTGGTACCATCCAGCAGCCAGCCGGTATAGTGTACGGTGACCTTGTCGCCGATCATGGGAGTTTCCGTACCTGTCCCCTCTCGCTTGATCACCTAGGGAATTTGAGGTACATCCACATCTTCATCATCAACCCCTCCCGTTAGAGGCTATGAGTCATATACCCTTGTGGGGAGAAGAAAGCTCCTAGCCAGGGCTCTAATATCAGCATCTTAACTAAGGCCCCAAATTAACCTCTTCCTCCTCACGGGGCAAGGTTGTATGCATAGTAAGACCTCCCCTTCCCTGATAAAATATAATGGAAAGAATACTAGAACCAGAACCAAAGGATTGGGTTAAAATTTCAGCTTTCCTACTTATTATTTGTGTGACTTTGGACAAATTACATCATCTACCTGGGTCTCAGTTTCTTTATCTATAAAATGACATTAAATGATACTAAATAAAATGAACTAAATAATCTTTACGGCTGGTTCCAGCACTAACAACGGCAATAACATTAACATTAAGAGCAATAACAATATTAACCACCAGCCTTTACGTAGCACTTTAAGGTTTGCAAAGTGCTTTATAAAGTTTATCTCATTTGTTCCCCACAATACCTCTGGAGGTTGGATGCTAGTATTTATTTACACCTTACCCCCTGACAGATACCTACTCTTCGACTCAGTGACACAGCCCTCTTAGTGGTTCCACAAACAAGACACTCCAACTCTGCTCCTGGCATTTTCTCTGGCTGTCCTGCATCCCCAAAATGCTCCCCCCTCCTCTGCTCTGACTACTGACCTCCCTGGCTTCCTTTAAGTCCCAACCAAAACCTCACTTTTTACAGGAAGCCTTCCCAAACCCTCAATTCCAGTGCCTTCTCTCTGTTAATTATTTCCTAGTTATCCTGTATATAGTTTCCTTGATATACATTTGTCTGCATGTTGCTCCCCTGATAGACTGTATGCTCATATAAGGCAGGGACTGTCTTTTAACTATTTTGTATCCCCAGTGCCTGGCACAAGATAGGTGCTTAATAAATGTTTACTGATTATCCCCATTTTATAGATGAAATTGATATGTTAAATGACTTGCCCAGGGTCACACTAAGATGATTAAGTGCCTGAAGCTGGATTTGAACTTGGTTCTCTTCTTGATCAGGACCAGTGTTCTCTTATCCACTTGGTAAGAATCCCAAGTCTCCCGGTCTTTAGGCCCAGCATCTATCCACTACATCATACTGCCTCTTATGAACTCTTCTGGTCAAAAAAAAACAAGACTGATTTGGAAGGAAGGAAAAGGGGATAGGAACTAGAACTGAGAGGGGCAAACCTAAGGTGAAAATGACAAGGGTCTAGAGAGAGCAGAAAGGGGAAAAACAAAACCAAACTCTGGATTGTGGAAAGAGAGGGGAAACAGAGGAATTGCCAATGAAACTGTGATGCAAGCACCAAACACAACTCGTACATAGCCTTGGAGCCAACGACCCTCAACTTTTTCTGGGGCATTTCTATCCCAGCCCATGTCTTTCTGCTGTTCTGAATTTTGAATGACCACGTATAAGTCTTAGATTTTGCCACTCTATCTTTGGGAATCTCACCAACAACTAATTATAAACAGGTACCTCTCTGGGCTCATTCCAAGAATCCTATCTCCCTCTATCTCAGCTCACATACAGAAATGGAAAGGTTTTAGAGGTCTGAGCAATTTCTGGGACACTGGAAGGGAAGATGAGAGCCAATCTGTCCACGAAGAGGTAGAACCTCAAAACCCAGACAAGATTAAATAACTTGGGGGGAGTGACCTCCAAGCTGTAGAATGGGCACTATTTCCAGGGACTCAGGACGCTGCTATTTCCTTTCCAGAACTTCTAAAAAGATAGGCTTCCTTATGAGCCAACAGGCAAATACTCTAATTGTTCTCTCCAGGGGTTTTCTACTCTACCCTGTAGAATAATCAGACCTGAACAGAACTAATCTTAGTTTCTTTAGATAGGAGACTTAAGGGAGAGAACAAATGGGGAAACAAGGAAGAATAATCCTTCCTAAAAAGGTCCTTTTAGGAAAGATAAAGGGCCTATCTCTCAGTGTGTGTGTGTGTGTGTGGGGGGGGGGTGTCCTCCATTTGGCTCCCAGAAAGAGATAGCGAACAAAGTCCAGTTTATGAACCTCTAAATCCTACAATTTAGGTCAGGTCCCCAACTCTGGGACACTAGCTCAAACTGTTAGTTGACTGGTGAGAAAACCAGGTAAAGAATGGGGAGCCTGGGTGGGGGGAGGAGAGGGGAGAAAAGGAGAGGGAAACTAAAGATTGTTTTTCATGCTATTCTGGATGCGGGCCAATGCTCTCTTAAAGCCTGTGCCGAATCACCCTTGGGCTGCTTCCGACCCAGGTCAAGATGCTCAACCACTAGAACACTGGTCCCCACAATTACTATTTGTTCTTCCACCTTATCCAGTAAACTACAGCAGAATCCACACCTCCCTGGCCCTTCCCTTCGTGGGGTGGGGGGGTAGTGGTGACAGAGGAAAGGGAGGGTAACTTGATCCCGGCGTACACTGCTGAGGGGAGGGGTCAGCAGCAGCAGGATCCCGGGCTCTAAGGTGGAGAATCTTGCTGTGACGTACCCACCCTCATCTCCAGTTCAGTCCACTTAAATCCCAAGAGGCAGCAGGACCTGATAACTGCTGTCCTCAACTGCCCCAACAGCTCAGCTAATGTTTAACTGACCTGGCAAGCTCCTGCTGCCTTATCAACCAATAATGGGCTACCAACGTCTAAGCTCCAGAAACGTCCTCCGTGGAAATGGGGTTCAAGTGGAGGTCAAGTCTCGACCCTAGCCAGACCCTGCCGGAGGCGCTTCATGTGCACAGGCTTTGATGCAGCCTTGCGCCCCCAGTTTGCAGCCCGTGGGCTGCGCCTCTCTCCATCCACCATGCACTCCGGAGTTTCCGTCACCATCCCGGCCCCACCTCCCCTTTCCCAGATCCACGCTGGGGGGGCCGGGCCAGCCTCAGAGGAGCGCACCGGTCCACCCGCCGTGGGGAAATAGTAACCCACTCCCCACCCCGGCTTGTAGCGCCCCCTTCCCACCCCTGATCGGCCCAGTCTGTGAGTGGGAGGGGAATGCGGGCTCCTCCAGGGCAAGATCTGCACGGTGTACGGCCGGGAGGCTGCAGTGGCAGCCCGCCCCCAAGGTCCCGGGTCCAGGGGAATGCCCGCATGGGCTGAAGCCCGTGCCCCGCGCTAAAGGCCTGAACATGTGCGGCAGGCCCATCTGCTTCCCGTGCCCGGACCCGACCTAAAGCTGCCTTCGGCCACCCCAGGCAACCCGCAGGTACCTTCAGCACGCCTTCATCTTGTTTGGGGCTAATGTCCACCCCCTCCAAGGGCAACGGGGCCGACTGCGCGTTGCTCTCCGCCGCCTTCATCTCCTCCGCAGTCATCGCCGTTCAAAGAGCCTTTTTTTACTCGTGAAGCTGGGGCCCGGGAGCCGAGCCAAGCCGCTCCCCGTCTGCCTGGGCCCGGTGGCTGCGAGCACGGCGTAGGGCGGTGGGAGTGAGGTTGGGGCCGGGGCAGCGCGCGGCTCACTTGCTTTTTCTGGAAACTCCCTTTTCCCAAGGAAAGGAAGAGGCGGCGAGGGCCAGGCCCGGTGCGACGCGAGGCGGCGCGGAGCTGAGCGGAGCCCACAGAGCAGGCGGCTGGAGCAGCGCAGCTACGAGTGCGGACGGTGCGGCTGCTGGGAGAGGTTGGTCCCACCCCGCCGCCGCCGCCGGGGGAGGGGCTGGGAGGAGCCGGGGGAGGGCAGAGGGAGCTTGGGCGAAGGGGAGAAGTTTCCAGAGGCAGCGTCCGCTGAGCCGGTTTGGGCTCCTGCGGCCGACGCAGTATGCATTAATCTATCCAGACCTCCCCCAAACCTAATCCGAGGGAGGGTCGATTCGCCCCCCCCCTCGGTCTTCTGGACTCGACCCAACGCCCTCTCCCTGGACACCCTGTCTCCCATCCCCCCCCTCCCCGCGCTTCTCCGGGCTTAAACGGACTCTTCCAGATCCTTCTCGATGAGTCTAGATCCTTCGCTAGCTCATTTAAAACCCGTCCTTTGGCCAGTTCGTTTTGTGCTGTGCTTGAAACAGGCTCTAAGGATGTGGATGATGGAGATAGGGGAGCAGCCGGCGGGGAGCTGGTCCTGTCCTCCTCCTGCCCCTTCCCTGTTCTCTATCTCGGGCTCGGGAGCTAGTTGGTGCTGCTTGGAAAGATACACCCAGAGCAGCTTTCCTTCTTTCTCTGTCTCTGTCTCTCTTCTACCCTTCCTTCCTTCCTTCCTTTCATAGTGAAAATAAATAAGTAAGGGGAATATAGGAGCTCGTGGCTGACATGCTCAGGTACATAGTTTTCGGGAAAGGAAAGAATGCCCCCTCCCCCCGGTCAATCTATCTAGAGCTGCCTCCAAATCAGTTTTCCCAAAATACCTGGAATAGAGCTCAAACAGTCCCTTCGGACCTACGTGCTACTACTAAATGGGTACAATAGAGTGCAACTTTCAGAACATAAAGGATCTGGCCTCCCGGCTTAATGCAAGCACCACCACCAAAAGCAGAAAGGATTTAAACACACCAAAAATATGTTCTGTGTTTTAGTGAAGAGGGAAGTGAAGGGGGAAAAGGATTTTTTTTTTAAGTTCGTAAATGTTTATTGACTCCACAGGATGTGCAGAATATTATGTAATAATATACAATATAATATATAACTTACAAATAACTTATCAGCAGACATATTAGTTGCTAATATACAGAGATTATCTTTGGAATTAAGAAGAGCTGTCTGCAAGTCACTTAACCTCAGAAGATTGAGACTTTATATAACTAATTCTAAGGGAGTTTCTTCTACTAATGAAATCATAGGTCCACCTACAACGCTTCCCCCCCCCAAAAAAATTACAAGAATACCATATTAGAAGCTGGAGAAAGCAAAAAAAAAAGTTAAATAGTAGTATTAATATATTTATTGTGATATATTAATTAAAATAATAATAACATCATTATTGCCCTCATGGAGCTTAGAAGCTTAAGTAGGACGATGATGTGTAAACATATATTCAGGGATGAGGGAGGTGCAAAACAAAATTCTCTGAGGTCATTCATTCAGCAGATGCCCTGGCTCAATAGTCTGACTCAGAGGTGGGGAACCTGAAGCCTTGAGGCCACATGTCCCTCTAGGTCCTCAAGTGCAGCCCTTTGAGTCCAAGTTTTACAGAACAAATCCTTTTATTAAAGAGATTTGTTTTGGGAAGTTTGGAGGTTCCCCACCCCTGGTCTGGCTTCAGCCTACCTTCAACTCCTTCGATCCCTACAATTCCAGTCAAACCAACTTACCTGCTATTTCTTCACCCATGACATTCCATCTCTATGTACCATTGCACATGTAGTATTTGTGTAAGGGGATGGTTAAATATACAGACCTGAGATGGATAAATTTGAACCTAAGGTTCAAATTATGTTTGTGACTATATTCCTTGGCTAAGACCCTCAAGGCTTATCCAACATATAGCTATTAACACAGAACATTTTTTTTGTTTGTTTTTTAATGGGGCAATGGGGTTATGCGATGCCCAGGGTCACACGGCAAGTGAGTGTTATGTGTCTGAGGCCACATTTGAACTCAGGTCCTCCTGACCCCAAGGCCAGAGAACTATCCACTGTGCCACCTCGCTGCCCCCTACACAGAACATTTAAAGCTCATAAATTCATGTTCATCCCTTGGGGCAAAACATGCCCACCCTGTTCAATATTGTAGTGGTTTAATTTCCCTCATACGGTTCATTAAGATATTAAAAAAGTTTTGAAATACATTCTTTCATTAAGCCTCAAAATATTTCTGGTCAATTAAGTAGTTTAGCTTTAGTTTCCAAGCACATAGCTAAGTAATTACCATGTAGATTTGGTGGGTTGGAAGGGTCTGCCCTTAGGCAGGTGAACAGGCATTATCCAGAGCACCCCAAATCCTTCTGGCCTAGGCCTTGACCTTGAAGGATGGGTACCAGTGAGAATGGGTAGAACCAGTACACCTTAGGGCAGGCACACAAACCTGGCCCAGGACACCTTCTTTCCTCTTCTGTTCCTACAGCAGCAAAAGGCCATCCCCTTTTACCTGTTCAACCATTTACTTCTTGTTTCCTTCCAACTTGGTAGAAGGAGGTATATGGAGGGAAGAAAGCCCTTTGTCCCTTCTCTGTAGCAAGCAAAGCAACCTACGTTAGGAGTTTTTTTAAATTGCTTATTCTTGTTTCTATGCTATTTGAAGCTGTTATTTAAAAACACACACTTTCTCTGTCTCTCTCTGTGTCTCTGTCTCTGTCTCTCAGTCTCTGTTTGTCTCTCATCTAATGTGACTTTGTCTGACCATGAATGCTTGCAGTGGGATTGACAAGAAGGCAAAACTCAGGCAGGCTGGTTGAGAGCAGAGCTAATAAAGGAGAGGAAGCATTTATAATTAATAGTGATGTTTCAGAGTTCCTGTATTTAGATCATACTCCCGGGACCAGCCTTGAGGCCACATGTGGCACTCTGGGTTCTCAAGTGCAGCTCTTTGACTGAATCCAAACTTCGTAGAGCAAATCCCCTTAATAAAAGGATTTGTTCGGTAACGCTTGGACTCAGTTAAAAGGCCACACACAAGGACCTAGAAGGGCACATGTGGCCTCCAGGCTGAAGGTTCTCCACCTCTGCTGGACCTTTTCCTTTCTGAACCCAATGAAAATTAAAAAGGAAAATGAGCTGAAAAAATTCATTGGGGCAGCTAAGTGGTACAGTGGACAGATTGCTGAGCCTGGAATCAAGAAGACCTGAGTTCAAATCCAGCCTCAGATACTTCCTAGCTGTGTGACCTTGGGTAAGTCATTTAACTTCTGCCTCAGTTTCCTCATCTGTAAAAATGAGGATAATAATAGCACCTACCTCCCAGGGTTGTTGTGAGGTTCAAACAATATAATATTTATAAAGTGCCTGGCACATGGTAGGTGCTATATAAATATTAGCTATTATTGTTGTTGTTATTATGAATTAGTCACATGCTTTGCTGGGTTTGGTGATGTTTTTTTGTGAGCATAACCTACCACTGAAATGGCTGTTGATTAGTGTTAGAACACACCTAGGGTTAAGGCTACCATTAACCTTATGGGCCATTAAAGGACCCTGGAGACACACCCAAACCATGGATCCCTGTTTCTCTTGGGCCCAGGCCTTATTCAAGACAACCATCCTCAGGATGGCAGGGAGGGGCCAGAATCATGCAAATGTTATTAACCCCATTTTACCAATGATGAAAAGACTACTTGGAGAGGTTAAGGTGACTTGTCCAAGATCACACAGTAAATAGTAGGCCTTCTCACCCCAAATCCACAGTTTCAGTCATTTGTATTTCTTCAATAACTTATACATATAGTTTAATGGAGTTGCTGACAGGAAAGGCCGGAGAGAGAAGTGCTTTGTTCTAATTTGGTAATAACCAAGTTCCATAATCACACTGTAACAGGGCTTTTCCTCCAAGCAGGACTCCACCTCGCTCATTCTAGACAGATGTGTCTGTTCTGTTGTTAACTACTTAGTCTTTTGTACCCAATTTAACACTTCATTATATAGAACAGCTGGGTGGTACAATGGCTAGAGTGTTGGACTGAATCATATACTTCCTAGTTATGTGACCCTGGGCAAGTCACTTAACTTCTCCAACTGTGTTTCCTCATTTGAAAATAGGGATAATAATAAATAGAATTGGGACACTAGTTACTGGTGATTAACAGTAGGGAAGACACACTGGAATGGGAGATCAGGGGTACTATTAGAATTTAGGAGGAAATGCAGCAGACTACTCTGGGAGGATAAGATCAGAGAATACTTGCTGTGGGTTATCTTATATGTGTTTACACATACTTGTACAAAGGTTTTATATCTGCCTATGTATTTCTTCCCTTTAGAATGCAAGCAGGGATTTTTTTTTTAGGCAATTGGGGTTAAGTGACTTGCCTGGGGTCACACAGCTAGTAAGTGTCAAGTGTTTGGTCTGAGGTTGGATTTGAACTCAGGTCCTCCTGACTTCAGGGCTACTGCTCTCTCCCCTGCGCCACCTAGGTGCCTCAAGCAGAGATTATTTTATTTTTGCCTTTGTGTCCCCAGTGACTAGCTCAGCATCTGGCACATTTAATAAATACTTGCTCCATTGGTTATTTGATAAAATGACAATTAGAAAAAGAAGATTCTGCAGCCTCTCCCCATACTCACATTTTCCATGTCTTCCATTTTATCATATCTTAATCCCTCTTGTTATAGATAAGCCAGTTTCTTTTTGCCTTATCCTTAGGGAAAATGGAAAAGATCTTGATTCCCATTCAGTTTTTATAATAAACGTTTGTGCCTTTGAAGATAGTTTTTTAAAAAGTTTGTTGTTGTTGTCAAAAAAGCAACAACAAAATCCTTTAATGGCCTACTGAATTATCCTTCAGCTCAGTAAAAATTTGTGGCAAGTGGTGTGAGTGCTCCACTTTCTGCAATCCAAAGAGAAGCAGGATCTCACATAATTAATTAATTAACCCCATCAGTGGTGTAGTATATAGTTTGACCACCAGGTGACACACCACCCTTGGACCACCAGCCCAGGCACTGCATCAAAGGGTAATCAATGAACTTTGTAGGCATTCCCAACAGCTACAGTATCTCCACCATTACCAGAAGGTACTTGCTTTTACGGTCACTATGACCTTTTCCTACCTTGAGCTCTCTCTAGCAGG